GGAGGGTAAGCCACAAAAGGTCATTGCTAAAGAAGCTGGCTGTTCAGAGTGCTATATCCAAGCATATTCATAGAAAGTTGAGTGGCAGGAAAAAGGTGCACAAGCAACAGGGATTCGAGCCTTGTGGCTTGAAATATTTCACTCTGTGTGTAATAAATCTATATAATATATGAGTTTCTCATTTTGAATTGAATTATTGAAATAAATTAACCTTTCCACAATATTCTCATTTATTAAGGTTCACCTGTAGTAGGCCTATAGCTCAGCATTTTGTCCTTTTCTGTGATGAAAACTAAATTATTCCAAATCGCTCATTGTTGTGTTCACTATTTTGGGTTAATTGTACAGTTTATCTGTTATCAGCACTTCTGTCTATAATTTATATTAGTTATGATAACTTTGTACACACCAAAGTAATTGTTACGGGTTGTTTTATGCTAAGCTAAGCTAAGCGGTTCCTGGCTGCAGCTTGATATTTACCAGACAAATATGACAGTGGCATCAATCTTCTCATCTAACTCTTGGCAAGAGAGAAAATGAGCCTATTTTTCCAAAATGTTAAACTATTCTTTTAAAACGATGGTAGTAAATGGTTTGGACCAACTTGTTGTTGCAGCTTGGCCTCTCGCTCTCCTCTCTCTGCCTCCTGCTGCATGTTCAACTTCTCCTGGATGGCTGAGACCTGAAGTTAGAAGACAAAACATTTTAGCAAAACTGCATGGGAGATACTGATCTCAATTTACAGCATTCAGCCCAAGTTTTTACCATCTCCATCCTGTCCTCCAGCTCTGCCTGGAGCTGCTTCTTCTCCTGTCTCAGTCCCTCCAGTATCTCCTGCAGCTGATCTCTCTCCTCACTGAGAGACGTCACTCTGTGCAGCAGCTTCTCCATCTCCTCTGTGGACCTCTGACTGTTGGTTTCCTTCTCAGACAGCAGGCCGTCTCTCTCTGCTTCAATGCTCCTCAGTTTTTCACTTATAGTCCACATCTGTGAGGTAGAGAGCAGTTAAAATGATTATTCATGTCTCTTAAAATCCAGCTGTCACTTTATAATCCCAGTGTTTTATTACAATTGCTACACAAAATGTTTGCAGCCCTACAATAGATGCTATTTTATAGAAGTAATGCTGTCTGACACAAACCTCAGTCTGTAGTGTTTCCACTCCTGTCCTCCACGCTCTGCTCTCGACCTGACTTCTCGCTCTCTGCGTCTCAGTCCCTCCAGTATCTCCTGCCCTGATCTCTCTCCCCACTGAGAGACTCATCCTGTGCAGCAGCTTCTCCGTCTCCTCTGTGGACCTCTGACTGTTGGTTTCCTTCTCTGAGAGCAGACCGTCCCTCTCTGCTTCAACACATTGTAGTTTCTCAGTTACAGTCCTCATCTGTAAAGAAGAGAACGGTTAGAAGACCTTCATGCACGTAAAACAATCAAATTATTTCTATTCATAACAAAGTGAGATGTTAGACACTAACCTGCTGATCTAAAGAGCATTCCTTCTCCTGACTCAGTTTCTCCAGATCAGAGTTCATCTGCTTCTGCTGACACAGCTCCTCCTGGACTGACTTCAGAAGCTCTTGTGTTGCAGAAGCCTTAAAACAAAATGGTAACTTTTTTTCAGTCAAATATACCAACATGTCATCAGGAGCAGAACAATTAGGAATACTTGGCAATGTACTGAAAACTAGAATATACAGTAGTGGAAATCCACAAAATAACAAAACTACGTACAAACTGCTAAAAATTGTATAAGTACAACTAAGCTTGACTCCCATATAATACTGTCTGACCATATTCATGTTCTGCTGCAGATCATCTTCCAGCTGCCTCTTCTGCTCAGTCACAGTCTGTAGAGACGTACTCAGCTGTGCTATCTGTTAAAGCATACGAGGGCCCATTATTCATTTGAATCTTCCAACTATTTGTGAAACAATCAAAGCATTTTTGACAGCACAAGAGAAATACATTTAAGCCATTAATGACTAATGACTTTATTTAGTATGTTAAGGAAAAGCCTCAGAATTAGAGGTTGGAGGTGGAAACACAAAATCTGCTCTGGAAAGTGTCAAAACAGTTCTTTTCATGAAATGCTGCTGCTTTTTTCTCCAAACATCCCTTTGCTGATTGTTGCCAAAAATTTTCATCAGTCCACAGCACTTCACGTTCCACTTGTTTTCCTTCTGTGAAGGTTTTGTTTGTGCAAGCAGCTCCAGACAGTGGAACTCCTGCAGGTTCTTTGTATTTACATAGAGGTTCTGATTTTCCTTTTAATGCAAATATTGTGTTTTATGTTCCATACCCTTAAGAGGCTGTGTGTATATATTATAACAGTCCATAATATGCGAGTGAAATTTTTTTTTAATAAAAAATCCACAGCGCTAAACCCATTACTGTACACATCTTTTTTTTTTTCTTTGTTAAAGAAATGTGACCAAGATTTGTACAAAGCAGGAGACATTACATTGTAAAAATAAACTCATCAGTGCTCTGTGGTGGACAAACTGTAATGGAGACACTGTTTCTAAATGATCTCAAACATACCTTTGTGTACATGTTTAACAAGTACAAAGAAAGATAAGAGATAAGATAAGATAATTCCT